TTTTTTTTTTTTGGGGGGGGGGGGATCATTTTTCAGTCAGAGTAATAAAAATTTTGAAGTCTGGGAAAATAACTCCTTTTTGACTAGTCGAGTGATAAAAGAGTGTAATTGTTTTGAGAATTTGAAAGAGAAGGGATGAAGGCTAAGGAATTATTACTTGAAAAAGAGATCAGGGACCAAGTGGTGTTTGGAGAGGAGAGTAAATATTGAGGTTTTGTAAGGTATAAAAGAAAGAGAAAAAGAGGTTCTAGATCTACCCAAGTGTTACTTGGCCCTTCATTCTTTTATGAAAATAGTGCTCAGGTCATGATATGGTAATCATAAAACTATACACCATGCTAGGATGGATTTAACGCTAAGTCTACCACAAATTCATCCATCCAGGCAGGATAAGAATGTGTCTAATGCATTTAAAGAGCCAGGATGGATTTATCACTAGATTCACTACCTCTTCGCCAAATTCATGTAGCCGGGGAGGGGGAGGGGGGGTTAGTATGTTTCTAATGCGATGTACAATATGGATACAATCTTTCTATGCAGGTTCAGATCTGATCTTTTCCTCATAACATCATTGAAATCGTCCTATATTGCAAGTGGCTTATGAGGTTCATGTAATTTCTACCAGCCTGTCCCAGCTTCACCATCTTTTTCCTCTACCAGACTTGAATTGCATTGACAAAAGGTTGAAACATAAGAAGGTTAACATCATTTTGCATGTGAAGAAAATATCTGAGGGAATCACGCTGCAAAGACCAGAATTTTTCTACTGATAGCGAGTTTCCATAGGGCCAGTTTAACTTGAAGGCATAATTTGTGCAACAATGGTGCGTCAGTTTTTTTAAACAACCAACAATTTATCAACTAGTAAAAATAAAAAGGTACATATTGAGGATAACCTTCCTGTTATCTGCTCTGTTGAGGAAGAAGGGAAGGTTGTTTTTTTTGCCATAAACCTCTTTATTAGTGCATAATCAATAATTAGCGATTCAAAAATATTATTGATGATCAGCTTGCTTCAAGGAATGATTATGGATAAGCAAGGATCCAAAGGTTAAGTCTGTCTTTTTTATTTAGCCTTTATTATAACTGAGATTTTCCTTTAGGAAATTTGATAAGAATGACATAATTGGAGTTAGGGGATTGAAAAAAGAGATATAGGTGGAATGCAACCTTTCTTTCCTATCATTTAAAAATGGGTTAATTCTTTATATGTCTAATGTATAATAAGATTACCTTCCCTTTGCGATAAAATTTTCTTTAGGGTTTAGACTTTAGAATAAGATTTGGATCATAAATCCTTTTGTTCTGCTTGATATAATTGCTTTACATTGTTTCAACTGCGATGCGGAAAGGAGTCTGATTGATATATAAAATAAAATGTATTGCAATGAAACTTGATTTATTAGGTTGTATTTGGTTGATCATTAGTCTAAATTTCAATTAGATGCAATGATACATATTCCTTTTCTGTATAATCTATCGAACCGTTTGATTAGGCTAATTTGGGAAGATATTACAGTCTGTGGTTTGGTTTTCAGTCTGATTTTAGTATTTCTTCAACTCCTAGTGCAAGAAAAAAAAATCTAGTTTCTGAAAACATCAATTTGTACATTTACAGTTTTATGTGCAAATTTTCTATTCTCATATCAAGTTGATTTATTTTCAAGAGAATTGATAATTGTGATAAATTTTATTCTTTTAAGATGACAGTATTTGGCCTTAAACTGCCTATTGGTTGGGCAAACAATTGCTTTCCTCAGATGACAATTATTTTTTCTCATCAAGAATTGTGTGCAATGAGATCTTTTAACATTTTATTTTATTTTGTTTTTTTGCTTATTAAATGTCTTAACTTGTGGTACTGAATCTAATGAGTGTAGCTACAAATACTGATGTGTTTTATCACTGCTTGAAGATCTATAAGGTTTCAGATGAACTTCTTTTGTTTAAATTTCATCCTGTATATATCCTTTATTTGTTATCCTTTATTTGTGAAGACTACTATAATCTTAATATGCTGGAAGATAAGCTGTTCTTTTTTTTTTTTAAATATTTTGCAACTTATTCTGTATATTCTTTTTCTTTGCAGTCACTTGTCACTGTCTTAGGATCTTCTGTAGGGAATAAAGTGTGCAACTCACTCATATTGTTCCAAGACTTGCTTGTGTCTACAACACTCTCTCCTGTACGGTAGTATTTCCTATTCTGTCCTTTTATTGTTACTAAGCTTCTATTCATCTTTAATTAGTTTCTGAGGGATCTTAACTCGATAATATATGTTGGGTATTTCATATTTAAATACAAGATTAACCCTTGTACTTTGGACGGTAGGATGATACTACAACCATATTTACATACGCTATCTTGAGGTTGACTCCGCATGCATTATCCTCTAATGCAAGTTCTTGGTCCTATCTGCGAAGGGGAAAATCTGCATCTAATGTGCTTGCCGCCTCGAGTACACCCACCTATAGACCTGAGGAGTCTCATTATGGATCTCGTGATACTTCCCCCGGAAGAGAACAGCATAGACATCATATACAAAGGCCTCTACAACGTGACAAATGGTTTAAAGGGAAGGATGGTTTTGTTGACTGTGATGTTTGGGGCGAAGGTGGTACTTTGTTATCGCTGAATCCAACGGTATGGCTTCAGAAAACTGAGGAGCGCATGTGTCTTTGTGTTTATCAGCATAAGAACTTGACGATAATACTCCTTATTCCTCTTTCATCATTGGCAAATGAGGAGGGCATGGCTTTGGTGAAGAAGCATCTTCAAGAACATGTGAGCAACTTTTCTCCAACTGATGCTTATTCCTTTTCCTTTATGTGCTACATACATCCTTGCATTTATGCACTATGGCACTTCTTCATTGTCTATTGATCTTGTGGTGAACTTGTAGTGGTCATAGGGATATTGTCATAGTGATACTTCAATAGAGATTTTTTTACTATTTATGTCAGAAAGTTAATTATCAATTAACTGCGCCTCCTTATCCCCAACGCACAGGAATGTTCGCTTGGTCAGCTAATGCTAATGCCTTTCACTTTCAGACAGTTCCTTGCACATCATTATAAGGGGAAAAAAAAGAGAAAGGAACTTCTGAGTGGGAGAATACTTTGAGGAATTTAGCGTTCTTTAATCTTATCTAATGACTGATTAATCTGAGGAAAGCAGATCCCTGCACAAGTAACACATGTTAGAGGGGCGAAAGAGATTTCCTTCGATGTGCCCTCCGACATTCAAGTCAATGATTGATAAACTGTTAGAATGCAGAATATAGTCAAGGGGTTTGATCCAACATACCTTAGTGTAGTGGGGTTAAGCATTATTTATAGAGAATTCTTGGGGGCACATTGTTAGTTCGACCTGGCCGGTAGAGTCGACGATTAGACTCCACTTTACACGCGTCGGTAGCCGGTTGTGTGAGTGTAAAGGGACGTCAACCTTGCATTTAATGCTACAATGATAGAATGGCGGGTGACCTCCGAGGAGTCATTATGACTTCCGCTTGAGGGGTCATTATGACTTTGTCCATGCATTTAATGCGATGGCGACTGTGCGGTGAAGTATGGGTGCCGTCTGGCCATGCATTAAATGTGAATGGCATTGATGAGACTGGAAGGGCATTTCGTCTTCTGAGACATTCTCTAGTGGAGTCCGATTAGTAGACGTCTTTCTTCTCGGACTCGGATATCTCTAATAGATCCCGACTTGAAAAGGTCTTTCATCTTGGACTCAGACCGTTAGAGCGATCAGCGGTGCTCACACTTGGGTCAGACTTTCAGATTATATGACTCGGCCCGTTAATATACCACGTGGCCAACTCTTAAGGGCTCATTAAACTTGGTGACTTTTTGGATATAACATTTACAATGCTTTAGTATTTGTTTGTTCTTTCTTATTTGGTATGCGCAAATGTCTAATCATATTGTCTCTGTCTGTTGATTTGATTTGTATTGGATTCAAATTAATTCCCATTAGTTTAGATTTGACAATTGCTGCAAAAATCTCCACATCCAGCTCTTCATGGTAAACCTTTTCCCTTAGAAGAATGAAAAAGCAGCACAGTTTTTTATTTGCTAACATTTAATACTACCTCATGTGGGTGGTTGATTCCACTTGAACAGGCATCTCAGAAGATTATAAATATCGAGGAGAAACTATCCAGGGGATGGGGTGGTGAAAATGCATATCATGTTAGCGGTTATCGTTACTTACTAATTGATGGTGATAGGAATATATCGAGGGCTTCACCCCCAGGAAAAGTGACAACTCTAGCAAAGGTTTGTTCTGGTTCTTTAGCATGTATAATTGTGCTTTTAGCAACTTCTTGGCTAGTTAGTCTTTCTCATTACGTAAGCTTATGATCTCCCAAAATACACTGTTGAAGTTTGGCATCTTAATAATTATTTTAACATTTTCATTAGTTACTTGCTCATTTCTTTCATCTTGCAAATTCAAGTGCAATTATTTGTTTTTGTCTTTCATTAACAATTAGTGCAGTTGTTTAGGGTTTTATAGAAGTCCAGAAATAATAAAGAAAAATAAATAAATAAAAACAAATAATAAAGAATTGTTCTTTATCTCATGTTGTAATTATGTCCTATAAGAAAAGGATTTCCATTGATGCTCCTAATCAAGTTTATCATCTCTGCAAACACATCCATGATTTTTGGTTCTTATGTACAAATTCATCTCTGCAAACACATCTATTTAATATAACGAGTTCTTGTGTCCTATGCTTCCTGACACTTAACAAACTTGATACCTTTCTTATGTATCATGTAAGACACATCAAATGTAATAATCTTTCAAGTGCATTTTCATGTAATGGAGAAGGGTACCTGTTGTTGCTAACTTGGGATTATTTTTAGTACCTTTAAGGAAAGATTTCTTGTATCATAAACTTCTTCAGGAAGCATGTTTAATTCACATTTCACATTGCTACATATAAAATCATTTAATATCATTCAACGAACGTGGGAATTGAATTAAAAAAGCAAATCATTATCGAATGGAATGTATATCCCATCTATAAATGATCATTTTTAGTACTTGATACCTTTCTTACGCATCATGTAAGACATGTGGTCTGCTCTGGGTCCATTTCTATTGCCTATGAAGGATGCGGGTTTGGTTCTATGTAGCTGTGTATTGGGACCTAACCGCTCTATGTTTTGACCCAATGCTCAACGCATAAGCTATGTGCCATTTCTTAAGTTCCATCAATTTCATAGCTCACCAAAATGTCTTGGTCTTAATCTTCTTAATCCTAGCATTGCAATAACTTGTTTACTTGTCACTGGAATACCAGATGTTGACAGAGTTCTGACAGGTTTTTATTCTTGTAGGAGTCCTTGCTTGCCCTCAATAGATTAAGAGAAGAGGTAGATTTAGAGAAGGCCAGAACAAAGAGGGATAACCCAGAACATGAAAAGGATCTGGAAGTGTGTATAAGAGCCAAAAACAATGCTTGGGTTATTGCTAGGACTACACGAGGCAGGGAGCTTTACATGGTTCTAGAAAAAGCAAGCGAAACACTTCTCTATGCATCCAATGCTCTCGAGAAGTTTAGCAACAGGTAGCATTCTCTTCCGTTGCACCTTAAACTTGTTTTCTTTAAGACCCTGGAGCACAATTTCTAGACCATTAAAAAAAATGTATAAGCAAACATTTACACAGCACATATTTGACATATCTTGGATACTCATTTTACTTGTAGTATACATTTTTTAACTTCATCATTCAGTTTTATAGTATGTTTTAGGGTTAAATGCAAATAAACCCCTTGTTGTATTAGCCAATTGCAAATAGACCCCTTAGTCCTATTTGTGGTGAATAGACCCTCTTAGTGAACTTTTTCAACTCTTTTAAAAAGTAAAAAAAAATAGCTATTGAGGGTCTATCCTCACCAATAGAGCTATTACGGTCTACCCGCCTCTAACCTTTTAAACATTTTTAAGGGTAAAAAAAGATTCATTCAGGGGGTCTACTCGCAAAATTAGAACTACAAGGTGTCTATTCACAATTGGGTGGTATGACAAGGGGTCTATTCACAATGGTCCCTATGTTTTATTGGCAGATGCTCATTTGGCACTTCTCCGGAATTGCTCTAATGTTTGAATTTCATAGATTGAGGAATGTGTTGTTTTCTTTTATTAGGGCACATATTTGGCATGATTTACACTGGATACTATTTATTTTCACATGTATTAAACATTTCAACTCATGATCATTTTTTAACAATTTTAAGGGATAAAAAAAGATTCATTTAGGGGGTCTGCTCGCAAAATAGAATTACAAGGTGTCTATTCACAATTGGGTGGTACGACAGGGGGTCTATTGACAATGGTCCCTATGTTTTATTTGCAGATGTTCATTTGGCACTTCTCCGGAATTGCTCTAATGTTAGAATTTCGTAGATTGAGGAATGTGTTGTTTTCTTTTATTAGGGCACATATTTGATATGATTTACACTGGATACTATTTATTTTCACATGTATTAAACATTTCAACTCATTATCATTTTTTGAGTATCTTTTACTTACAAACACCCATTTGACACTTGTCCGAAATTTCTCAAATTTCTCTAATGTGAGCATTTCACAAGTTAAGAAATGATTTCTTTTATTAGGAAACATGTTTGATGAGACCTGTCTTGGATAATATTTTTACATATATCAAACATTTCTTAAAGCTTTTTTATCAGTTTACAATATCTTTTAATTAATAACACTCATTTGGCATTTCTGAATTTCAAATATCCCATTATTCCAATTTATCCCATTTTGTCCCACTCAATTGTCCCCATAGTTTAAAATTGCTCGATTGGGACAATTGTTCCACTTGTCCCCAAATTGCACCAACGAATAACCCCTACCCCTATTGTTAGCATTTCATAGATTGAGAAATGTTTTGTCCTCTTCTGTTTTAATGTTAAAAACTATCAACTTTTCTGAAAATATAGAACCTTAATCCACTATTTAAGAATAAAGGCGAGCTAAGGCCCTGAGAAGAGTGAGATGAATGAGAGACCAATTTATAATGTCACTTAGTTGAATGAAATGTTAATATCTATGCATGCAGCATGACTATATTTAATTGTATTATTAACGGTTGATTCATTATTTTAGTTCTATGTCAAATTCGAGTGTTTTGACTTATGTGGATGTGTCAGTGCCATTTCTTGGCATGTCTTTTAGCCATGTTTCACAACGATAGCGACAAAGCCCTTACTGTCTTTGGTGTTAGCTACATGAATCCCTCTTTTCCATTCAGCTCCGTTTCATCTCTATTAACTCAACAATTATCATATCCAGGTTAGTCTGTATTCTTTGAAGCTTTCTCGTATCTCGGAATTAGTGTTGTTTCATGTCCATATTTCATATCTTTGTTGAGGATATACAAAAATGTCTTCAACTTTTGCAGCCTAATGGCATTACCTTACAGCCTAATGGCATTACTGATACGGGTGTATCTTCTCTTCGGGAGCTTAGCGATCCTCATGGGAGCTTGAGGATAGATGATTCTCATGGTATCTTGAGAATAGAGTAGAGGAGTCGTGGACGAGACCATTGGAAGCAACGAAGTCGAAAGGATTCATCAAAACTGCAGAAATTACAGTTGGACTCTGTCCGGTCGACCGGCGTGGTCACGGCGGTCGACCGCATCGTGCACGGACCCCAACTGTGTCTCGGGACTGAGATCGGTCGACCGATGGTGGCACTGCGGTCGACCGGAGAACCCTGTAATCGATTTTCCAGATTTCGTCGTTCTGACCGGTCGACCGACTTGGGCACTGCGGTCGACCGCGTCGCGGATCCGGGCCTGGGTCTGTTTCCTGCTCCAGTTGGGATTTCTGTTTAGTATAAATAGAAACACGACTTTTCTAGGGTATAGAACTCAGTTTGTAATCAGAAAAGAGATCAGGGAGGTTGTTCTTTGATCTAGAGAGATTGTGAGAGAGAGATTTGTAAAATCCAATTGATTCTCATAATCTAGAGAAGGTATTTTCCTTCGCCCTAATTCAACTCTTGTGTTCTTCTGTCGTTCTTCTTCTTTACCCCCCCCCCCCCCCCCCAAAAAAAAAAAAAAAAAAAGTTCCAAACCATGTGCTCATTTCTTTGTAGTGTTCAATTCCTCAATATTATTGTAATCCCCAAACAAACTCATTGGTTATCTTCTCCTTCATATCATCCATTATTACTAGTTTAATATCACGAACAATGATGCCGTCTCCGGCTCCGGTTAGCCCTGCATGGCAGTGCCTCACCCCCAATCTGCCCTGCCTTCCACGCCCTCCACGCCCTTCACCTCTCTTCAACCAGGGTGAGGAAACGAGAAGAAAGGAGGAAAAAGGATTTTAGGGTAAATATTATAAAAAAGGACATGAAGAGTTTTCAATTATGATATTCTAGTCATTTTATCGCACATAATTTTCATGTGTGAAATTAGACTTAATGAAGTTATGCTAGGAGGCTACCAGACAAAACATTTTGGTTTTTTCCCCTTCTTTTGGATTTTTTTTTTGTTTTTTTTTCCTGTCTTTTTTGTTGTTGTTATTATTATTATTATTATTATTATTATTATTATTTTCTTTTTTTTTTTTTGG